GCACGCTTGGCCATTTCACCTTCCAGAAAGCACAGCCAGGTGCGCTGCCGGAAGTGCTGCTCACGGAGGATGTCCTCTCACCGTGTCCCTGGAGGATGCCCCGAGCCAGGCCACAGGGATGCGGCTGCCCACCTGTGCTGCACTCTTTACCGGGGGCACCTGGTTGTGTAGTTCATTGGGTCAGATGGCACCCAGTTCATGGTGGGCAGTTCAGGCCACATGGTAACTATATTCTGAAACTGGAGAAATGACCACAGGATGGATTCAGGGACCCACCCGAGCCACTTTGACACAGACCTGAGATAAAACACCATTCACTGTTCAGCTGATCTCTAGAAACCCCGACTCTCACTGGAGGGCCACGGTGAGGTTTGAGGGTCCCAGAACCAATGTCAGTTCACAACCGGGGTACAGTGGTCCCTGAAAAGTCTGATTATTTCATTTTCCCCAATACACAGTTACCCCAATAAAGGCTATTGGTGCCTTTGTGGAAGCCCAGGAGAAAGATCAACAGTATGAATTTTCAGTGATGTACCAGAGTTCTTCCTCAAGGGGACAGATCCTCCCTTTCCTTCATGGGCATCTGGGTTTGTAAACTGGCTCCAGCCAGGAAATCCACTGACTGAGGGTTGTGATGCTCTTTTTGTGATTTAATTTAAACTTTTGCTCACTGGACCTAGATGTGTTTTTCTTATAAGCCCAAGTATGTGTTTAGCCCGCTTCCTGCCTATTTCACCCCTAGGAACACCTCGATCACCAAGCCAGGGTCATTGATCTGTGCCCGTCAGACTGTTCTCATGGCCGCTGTGACTCTGCTGGCCGTGACCATAACCCTGCACTTGGGAGGAGACGGCCCCCCTGCAGAGGGCTAGAGAACCCTGAAAGCCAGTGATTTAATTCAGTTTGAGTCCAGAGGCCTGTGACTTGGGGGCCGGTGATGTAAGTCCAGGTCTGAGTTCAACAGCTGAAGACCCAGCAGTGCCAGTGTCCCAGGTCAGGAGAGGACGACATTTCTGATGATGTGGAGGGAGCACACACCCCTTCCCCCACCTTTTTGTTCTATTCAGACCCTCCACTCAGGGACCATGCCCACCAGCATTGGCACCAGTGATCTTCTTGACTCAGTCAGTGGATTCCAGTGCTAAACTCCTCTGGAAACAGACTCAAAGACACATCCAGACATGGTGTTTTTGCAGCAACATGAGCATCTCTTTCCTTAGGCAGGTAGACATGGACCACTAACCATCACACTGCTGATGAAGACCTGAAAAGAGTGGCCCATTTGGAACCCATGTCTCCTGGGAAGAGGAAGCAATTAACCTCCCAAGGGAATGATGTAAGGTGCATGTTTCCTGTCGCCTTCACTGTGGGAGGAGAGAGGTGCCCAGACATGTCATGGCAGAGGTGCATAAGTCTGCTGCTCAGGGCGTGGAAGCATCTTTTGAGCATGAAGAGAGCCTGTGGACTCAGGGCAGATTTTGGTATCACTTCCCCATGAACGTGGACCAGTGTGTGGAGTGCCACCACTTCTATATGAGGCACGGTAATAATCAGCCTCGTCCTCAGACTGGAGCCCAGAGATGGTCAGGGAGGCCGTGTTGCCAGACTTGGAGCCAGAGAAGCGATCAGGGATCCCTGAGGCTCATTTATTGACCTCATATGTCAGGAGTTTAGGATATGTTGGTACCAGGAGACATAGTTTCCAGACCCAACATCACTGCTGGTTCCAGCACAGGAGATGGTGACCATCTGTCCTGAAGTCCCAGACACCGAGGAAGGCTGAGTCAGGGCAGACTGGGCCCAGTACCCTGAAAAGAGCAAAAACACAGTCAGGTCAGTTCAGGCCTGGTCGCCAAGTCACCCTGAGGACAGAGACACAAAGTGTCAGCCAGATGTCCCCGTGTCCCTTCCCTGGAGCCTCACCTGTGCCCTGAGTGAGGAGGGTGAGAAGGAACAGAGCCCAAGTGATGGTGGAGATGACCCAGAGTGCTGCCTTGTAAGCCCCAACCCTGGTCCTTGTCCGCAAGACCTCTCTTATCCCCTTCCCCAGCTGCAGAGGTGGGCGGGGCCTCAATGCAAAAATTGCTCCTGCCCCTGCTTCCCCCTCCCCTCTGACTTCACCATTCATTGGAGATACTTCTGCCTTCATGGACACAGAGCCAGTCTTGGAGAATTAATACTCTGATGCTTTCTTTCTCTTGACACACTGACCATTATAGGTCCCCAGAAATCGAGCCACCCTTTGTTTCCCTGTCACCCTGTACTAGAGTGAAGGTATCATTGGCTAATAATCCCCCCAAATTATTTTCTATTCTGTGTGTCAAAAGTGAGGACAGGGTCCAGAAGGGCTGGAATTAGAGATTCAATGTCTTCTCGTCCTGACATCAAAGGAGAGCTGGGTGTGTCCACCCCTCGCCCCATCTTACCTCATCAGCAAGATGGTCCCCTTGTCCCTCTGTCCCCTGTCTCTGTGCTGCTCTGAGTGGGAGTCCCTGGGGACACTTATTGGTGTTTCTAGTGAAGGGCTCATGAAGCAAAACTGATGGGGACCCTGGACCCCAAACTCTCACTGAGGGGCTTCAGGAGGCAGAAGCTCTGCGACTTCACCCTAGGCAGGTGAACCGCAGGAGAACCTTCCCCAAACCTAGGCACTCACTGCCCCCTGGTGGCCTCAGGTGGGGCATACAGTGGCCAGGGAGGCAGCTGAGGGCACTTGACACTTCCACCATGATCCCCTACTACTCCTGCCTCCCCTTGCAACTCAGCTGATGCTCCTGCTTCTTGTCACAGAGATCACAGGTGATGGCAAAAGGAAAAAGGTACCCACCACAGAGTAGATCCCTGTTTCCTTTCAGGGTACATGGAGGGGGCTCCAGGAGTGATGGCTCATGTGTGTGTGTGTGTCTGCATGTGTGCTGCTGTGTGTGTGTGTGTGTGTGTCTTCTTTGTGTGCATTTACAACGAGAGAGCACAGCCTGAGAGAACCTAACTGGACTTGATGATGAAAGTTTGGGTTTTCCTCGCATCTAGCCCTGGTCCCAGGCGCAGGCACACTAACAGGATTTGTGCAGGGAAGAGCTGCCCATTGGTTGAGACTAAAGTGTTTGGGAGGACCTGCTTGCAAGACTGGCCCTTGGTTTATGTTCTGAGATTTTCTTTTCATGGAGATGCACAGAATCAAGATATAATGTATCTAAGAAACCAGATATCCATTATGATATATATTTCCAGATATAGTTCAAAAATTGGATGGAAACTTGTCCAAAGAATTCTGATCATGCTAAGAGGCAAAATGGGAGTCTCTTAATTTAGTGTGCACTAAACATTAGGGACCTGGTGTGAGGACAAAAGAGGGAAGGGCTCCGGGAGGGACACAAGACTGACCACTGTTCAGAATCTCATGTACAACCACATACATCTGCCCATAAAGAGCAGAAGTGATTGTTTAAACCACAAGCTCAGAGTCAAGATATTCAGAAGGATGTTTGATATCACGTGTCGGTATAGTTTCTGGGCTGTGAATTCTGAACACATGTACAGCCATGTTGAGCTCATTCTCATTTAAAAAAAATGTTTCCTAACAAAAATGTAAGATGAGTATAAATGTAGTTGCCTATCACATAGAAAAAGAGAACAGGAGAGCAGACAGAGGGACAGAACGCCCCACGGTCCCCACAGCCATGGGGGAGGGCACGAAGTAACAGGGGCTATTCTGGGTCTGATTCCCAGTCCCCAAACCTAGAAGCAGATATTATTGCAATCAAAGTACAGTCTAGAAATGAACTCGGTGCCGATTCTCAGCAATACACCAGAGCTCTGACCAGATGGATAGTAATACCTGAGATTCTGGTCCAATGGAAAATGCTGGGATGAAGAAATATGATTATTCTCATGGAGACTAGCATGGGATGTGGAAAATATGGGGCCTAATTGGCAAGGTAAAAAAATCAGATTTATCAGGAAGATGATGTGGTGAGGAAAAGCAGACACGTGGCAGGCAGGGGGTGAGCCTGATTAGGGGGCAGCTTCCAAACATAGAGGGGCCTTCGATGAAACAGCCCAGCTGACACGGGGCTGCACCTTCATGAGAACCAGGAGACACAAGCACAGAAAAGAGCTGCTCCAGGTTGTAGAAGCCAGAAAACACCGGATGTCAACTCTTTTTCTCTTCACTTGTAAGTGTGGGGGTGACCTGTTATGCAGCAAATAGATTCCTCATGCTCTTTCTTTTTCATCTCATCCATTTAAGTGAATTCACATAATTTCAATTTTACAAAAGGTTGCATTTGGAAAAAGTTGCAATTTCAATAAAATGCAAATATTAAACCCAGGACACTTCTACCCACTTTAAAAGTGAATTCTAACAGTTATTAGATTAATGGGCATTTCACCTACAACCTGCTCTGCCTCCTCGTGGGGACATGTGTCCTGATATCCCTGAGGAATGAGGGACACACCCTCCAGAGCATCGTCCATGTGAAGCCACCTTGCAAGGCGCCCATGATCTCGGGGAGAATGTCTGCCTGCAGGGTGGTTCCCGGACAGGGCTCACTCAGGCGAGTAGAGGGCAACTGTGAGAGACCCAGGGTCTGTCCCCAGCCCCTGGCTCAGCCCTCTCAGATGTAGGACAAGAGGAGGGATAATAAATATGATAACCACGCCTTCCTCTTGGTCCTCCTCCCTCTGCAGGGTCTTGGGTCTCCTTTGAGCTCTGATGCTTCAACAACAGATGCAGATGGACAACCAGCAGAGGCAGAACCACGGGGAGCCTGAGGGCTCAGGGCAGCTTTTGGTCTCACTTCCCCATGAACTTTGACCAATGTGTAGAGTGCCACCACTTCTATATGAGGCACAGAAATAGTCAGCCTCATCCACAGACTAGAGCCCAGAGATGGTCAGGGAGGCCATGTTGCCAGACTTGGAGCCAGAGAAGCGATCAGCGATCCCCGATGTTCGATTTCTGACTCTATAGATCAGGAGTTTGGGGGCCGTTCCTGGGAGCTGTTAATACCAGTAGACATAATTTCCAGAAGCAAAATCACTGCTGGTTCCAGCACAGGAGATGGTGACCATCTGTCCCAGAGTCCTGAACACTG